GTATGTGTCTGATGCCGGAAACTTTTCAGTAAAAACTACAGTAGAGATGTATTTCAAAAATTCCAATGATTTTTTCACGAACTTATTGTAAATGGTCATGTGCGTCATTTTTCCTATCGGCCACTTGTAGGGTTTTGTGCAAAAATTATAAAAATTTAAAGATTGAAGGCGCCGCTGCTATCTCGGTTAATATTGCGAGCTCAGTGTTCATATCGAGAAAGGCATTTTCGTGCACTTCGGAAACATCTTGAAGATTATTTCGTCGTTTACGGTTATACAATATTTTGCATCCGTCAGCATCGAGATTTGGCTGCCAAATGTCGGAGGTGGTGGCATGGATTTAACAGTGGAAATCCTTTCGTCCGACCCGGAAACTGGGCTTGTCGGCTTGGCATTGTGCAAGCCCACGGTTACATACGTTGGTTCAGCACTTTCTTCGGCAGCTTTGTCCACAACATCAGCACCCACCATGTACCCGAATCCATCATTCCCACAAATTGTGAGTTATTATTCCTATTCTACAAGAGAAACACTATGTAACACATTTTATTCCCCTATAATTGATAAAGTATTCTCAAATGCTGAACCTAGCAGTACAGGAAAAACGGAACTCCGTCGCTGTTAAATTGTGCTACTGTAGTTTACCAGCAGCAACATGAGTACGGAATTCGAAGCTGGTTCAGGTCACGAACGTCCAACAGTTGATAGCCCAGAAACCTTGGAAAATTGTGGAATAAACCAATTTCGGAGCAAGTTTCTCGTCAGTAAACCCCTGTAATCATGTTTGTGATTACGGGAATAAATTAAACGTGTCTGCCAGGAATTTAAGAATTGAATCTGTGAATCACGTCCGAACTTGAAATAAGCCTTCAGATGACACGCAGTGGGCATTCCCATGCTTCCCGTTGTCGAGCTTGGAAAATTCGTGGCTGAAGTAATTTTTATAATGGTAAAATAGCTGAGCAACATTTTGTAAGCTCCTCTAATTCGAATTCCCAACGTAATTCGCAGATTTGAATTTATTTTTGTCAGAGCAATTGACGAATTGGGTGAGTTACGATATTTAATTACTGTACATCCGTGGAAATTATTTTCCAGCAAAGATTCAAACGTGTCTCACTGAATGCACTCAAGAAGTGTTTTGACAAGCCATTCAGGTTCATGCTCAAGGGGCAAGAATTTAGTCTCCGGTGGATTTCATTCGCAAATTATTTCTTCGAATACACATTTTTATATAGTATTTCTGAGGCCGCAGTTGAAATCGAAGTGTAGTTGTTTTATGATAGGCGAATAACTTGTTTACCACACCTTCCCGCGCCGTAAGACCTGCACCTGACTTCTAAAATCTTTAGAAAAGACAGGAGATTGATTTCATTCCAGTTATAAAGTCCTCGTTCTTTCGGGCAATTTTTTTTTTCTCGCTCAAAATAAAGTTTTCCTTTTTGTCGAATAAATTTTATTGGCATTTAGAGCGTCCTAGACTCAAGCAGAAGCATTTAATCTGTTCTCGAAAAGGACATCTCCATCAGGCCGTGAGCGTTAGATCCCGATGCTCTACGTCAAGCTTTTTGAACAGGTCGAACACTCGGATCCTCAGCTTTGGACTTATACTGTTTACAGTAGATGGGAAAAACATATGCTTGATTCCATTTACTTGCTGACCCATTGTCCATCAGCTGCTCGCGGCACTCATTGGATTCCTGTTTTCTTTCATATGAACAGAATGACAAAGCCATATTTTCGTTCGGCTCGGTCGTGAACACCGACGTGACTACTGACACTGCGACAAACGCGAGTTTAATCAAGATCGAGTTCTGCGCTGCTTTGGTCGACAGCGGAACGAACCTGAGCCCCGTGTATCTGACTGCTGGTGCGGATTACGCAAGTGAGCTTTACATCTGGATCGGCCAGGACCAACTCACTCCCAGCTATGCGAATAGAGCAGTAAGTCATCATTCTTAATATACAGTACACGTGGAAGTTGTTTTGACCTTCATGAAGGCGAAGTGAAGCAGGTGAAGAAGTTGCAAGTATATTTACAGCACAAAATATAGGCCAGACGACCTTCTGGGTCTCGAGCAAACGAGGCTCGTGATGCACGTGTAATAATCTGCTCCCGCGGAACAACATGGAGTCACTTAATTAAAAACGTTTTTTTCATGTCATTGCATGTATGCGTAGTATTTTTAATTGACTTCTAAACATCGGGTGGAAATGATGAAATTTTGAACTTCATTTTCAACAATTCAGAAATTTTCCGACGACAATTTTCGTGTGTTTGTTTTTATAGGCTAAGTTAAAGAGAACTAAAGGTTTGAAAATTCGCCAGTTTTTCAATTTTTTGTTTTTGTTTTTGTCGAACCAACCATTCTGCGAAAATTTCATTCCGCCCTTCTTGCCATGTACGTTGTGTGATCCACTGCTCATCTTAATACAGTACATGGATTTTCCGGGATTTTGTGCGTAATTTTCTCTTGCTCGTACTCGACGGATAAACTTTCTAGTTCTCTGAGCAAGACACCGTGCGCCTTGGAAGGGCTAAATTGAAATAAATCTTGCGCAAAAAAATATGTGAGAGTTTCCAAAGGCGCATTGATCTGAATTTATTCTACCGGTGGACTACTTCTCCTCTCTCTCTCTCTCTCTCTACAACGATATTGTCTACAACGATTTTCTTTCTAGAGAGAATTTTGATTTTGTGGCCCCGCAGGCACGTAGGGTTCTCTCCTTCTGTTTCAAAGGTTCTCCAAGAATAAATTCTTGCTACAACGATTTTTTCTGGTTTCTTGAATTTCGTTGTAGAGCGAGAGAGTCTACCTGTAATTGAAAAGCGCTCAAGTTTTGAAGGACATTTCATCCCATGTGAAAATTTGGCTCAGGTCTGATTAATTACTGCACCTTTTCAAGACCTTTCGTTGTTTCAGACCACGTATGCTGCAAGTGCCACCGTTATCTCGTCTCCCGCATCCACGACCATCGGCGCAGGAGACGCTGATGGGATAGTTTTCGAAGTCGCAATTACGCATCCCTTCACGCCGATTTCATTTTCGACGCTTGATCCTGACTACAAAGATGTAAGAAAGAGTGGACATCATCTAAGCGTCCAACAAGTGGATTTTGTATTTTTTTTGCGTCTGATGGGGCTAACTGCAGAGATTCAAGCTTACTAATAATGNGAAGAAGTTGCAAGTATATTTACAGCACAAAATATAGGCCAGACGACCTTCTGGGTCTCGAGCAAACGAGGCTCGTGATGCACGTGTAATAATCTGCTCCCGCGGAACAACATGGAGTCACTTAATTAAAAACGTTTTTTTCATGTCATTGCATGTATGCGTAGTATTTTTAATTGACTTCTAAACATCGGGTGGAAATGATGAAATTTTGAACTTCATTTTCAACAATTCAGAAATTTTCCGACGACAATTTTCGTGTGTTTGTTTTTATAGGCTAAGTTAAAGAGAACTAAAGGTTTGAAAATTCGCCAGTTTTTCAATTTTTTTTTTTGTCGAACCAATCATTCTGCGAAAATTTCATTCCGTCCTTCTTGCAATGTACGTTGTGTGATCCACTGCTCATCTTAATAAGTACATGGATTTTCCGGGATTTTGTGCGTAATTTTCTCTTGTTCGTACTCGACGGATAAACTTTCTAGCTCTCTGAGCAAGACACCGTGTGCCTTGGAAGGGCTAAATTGAAATAAATCTTGCGCAAAAAAATATGTGAGAGTTTCCAAAGGCGCATTGAACTGAATTTATTCTACCGGTGGACTACTTCTCCTCTCTCTCTCTCTACAACGATATTGTCTACAACGATTTCCTTTCTAGAGAGAATTTTGATTTTGTGGCCCCGCAGGCACGTAGGGTTCTCTCCTTCTGCTTCAAAGGTTCTCAAAGAATAAATCCTTGTTACAACTATTTTTCCTGGTTTATTGAATTTCGTTGTAGAGCGAGAGAGTCTACCTGTAATTGAAAAGCGCTCAAGTTTTGAAGGAAATTTCATCCCATGTGAAAATTTGGCTCAGGTCTGATTAATTACTGCACCTTTTCAAGACCTTTCGTTGTTTCAGACCACGTATGCTGCAAGTGCCACCGTTATCTCGTCTCCCGCATCCACGACCATCGGCGCAGGAGACGCTGATGGGATAGTTTTCGAAGTCGCAATTACGCATCCCTTCACGCCGATTTCATTTTCGACGCTTGATCCTGACTACAAAGATGTAAGAAAGAGTGGACATCATCTAAGCGTCCAACAAGTGGATTTTGTATTTTTTTTGCGTCTGATGGGGCTAACTGCAGAGATTCAAGCTTACTAATAATGACATCAGATGATATGATCAGTTGAACCGACATTCTTTCTTGAACAAATTGCAGGACGGGAGGGGTCTCGAACACGTACTTTTTCGGAGGATATTTTTATAATCCACCTCGAATTTCAGGCATACATTTACAAACATTTTTGGGCTCTATACTTCTTGAGCCTATCAATCGTAACTCACTCTATGTACAAACGTGCATTAATCATAGAGCTTGTGTTCCTTATTGGTATCCTTTCGTCCTGTTATATTCTTTCATTTTTGTCGAGCAGTCACGAAGAAAGAAGCCTCTGGATACTTCAAGGAACACCAAGTGCTTCGCGAAGCACAGTTTTAAATTTTAAAAATGTATATTCGATGAAAGATTTACGTTAAAAAAATCGAAGTAATCACAATCCTCTGCCGGATATTTGGACGTTTGCAGAATTCAATACATGATAATTTACTTTGTACTTTCATGATCTGAACAAAATCCTTATTAGTTCTAGAGAAAACCGTCCAGATGAAAATCAATGAGGAGAAGAACATCTAACAAAAAAAGCAATCTGTACCGGAAGCAACATGCACAGAAAAAGCATCAAGCAAAACTCATACAATTACCAATTGTTCTCTGCGATCAAGTATTTTCTAAGGTCATTTCATGTTTAGAATCACATTTATTTATGCTACAATAAACATTTTTTAGACCACTCGTTTCTAAACCTGTAATAACGAACAATCAATTGCAGTTTAACAAAAACTCAGGACTTCGAACGACCTTCAATACTGCGGCCACTATTGGGAGTAGCAGAATCTTCCTCAACGTGTACAATTTCACTGTCGGTGCCGCAATCACGAGGTCTGCTACTAAGCTTTTCACCATGGAACAAGTGAGTGGGACTTCGATTCTCATCAGTTTGGATACGTCATGGGTTTTATGCTATGGATTATCGCTCAGCATGCCCACAGGCCGTTGTTTTTTTTTCTTCATATTTTCGGGTATTCTTGAGATGTCTGTGCAGTGAAAGACTGGAATGACACCAGATTTCCTTTGATTCTTTGCACATTTCTTTGAATGACGAGGCATTCAAATGATAAAAACGGCAGCGTTTTCCTGCGAAGTGCGAATGAGAAAAAGTCGAAAGCCGTGTCATATGCCATCTTAATTTGTTAATAGCCTAAAATGCGAGAGTTTTGCTAATAATAGAAGAAGTTTCCTTCAAAACTGTTTTGACGATTATCAGTTGATGCCGAAATCATTGGGCCTTAAACCATATGGTGATTCCTAAGAAACCCTCGCGAAGCATCCTTTTGATATTTCGGCAGATTAAGACGTACAGGGATTATAAAACTTTTAGCTGACTTTTCCTGCCAGTTTAAGCCTCGGAATTATTGTTTTGGCCTTTCGATTCCCTGTATTCCTCGCTTCATTGTGGGGCTAGGCTTTCTATCCTGACCAAAATTAATATAATCCAGAGCTACGCAATCGTTTCGGCATCAAGACCCCATTCTACGAAAGATATCTTCGATGAAACCCCTTTGGTTGATAGTTGCCTACCTACCTCTTTAGACCTTCAAAGCTGCTGACAAGGTGTAATTTCTGCGGCTTTCATTCCGAAGCCCCGGAACGAATTTTCGTACTCCCGAAACAACTCCTCGAGCTTATTCGCGGTCGCCATTCTTAGTTATTTTTCTTTCTCATTATTCGTAGCATTTGGAATGATCTGATGACATGCAACATTTCTTCCTTGTTGCAGGTCACACTAATTTCGAGCTCAATTACGATACCAACAGGAGGTTCGATTGTCCATTTGGTGAAACAGCGAGCAACAGCCACTGCTCCAGCATGGTTTAATTACTTACTCACCGTTAAACCTCCTGGTGAAAAGAAAACATTTTGGGAGTTTTGCACTCCTGCGGATAGAATGCATTCATAAGGCAATTTACTGTTGTATGATTTCAGCTGGGATGACTGCTTGTGGCGCTCGAATGGTGTTCGCAGGGGGGAACCTTGCCTGCGTGCCCCCTCTGAATGGCGGTGCTGTGATAAAAAACGCCGACGGATCAATGAATATTTATTTAACCGTCAAAAATACGTTTGCTTTCAGCGAAGTAAGTGTTACCTTGGAAAATATCGCATTTACACTCTTTCGACAGTCTAGTACTGTACAACCTTTTTATAGTTTCCCTTTAAAACACAGCGATACATTACATCCGCGTACACGATTTTGTGTGTCCAACATTCAAAATTCGTTCCTATAGTCAAGAATTAGTAAAATATTTTTCTGAAGATGGAGCTTTTCGAGCTTGATTAGAAATTCAAAGGTATTGAACGTCGAGTTGTTCTAGGAATTTCTCCTACGTAAATAAGATTTATTTCGATTTTATTTATTCATATACAGTATGTAAGAGGAAGCCTAATTTTTCAAATTTGCGTTTATGATATAATAGCTATTTTTCCTGAGAATAACTTTATCCGGCTTGAAAATGTAGTAGTGAAAATGGCATTTTGGGATTGAGAGTTAAAATTTAATTCTTCGACTAAGATCCCTCGAACCCAGCATGCCACCTCGGAAATTACCGTAATTTTTGGTTTTAGCAAATAACTTTTTAGATCCCCCCCCTCATTTCGAGACATTGAAGAAAAATCTGAAAATTACAAATCTTTAATGAGCAGTAGTGTACTACGAAATTAAGGAACCAACTCCCAAGTTATTATCAAAGCTACTGACCGCCAGGTGCAATATTCCATGAGTGAGTCTGGATTCGCAGACGAAATCATGTGGTACTGATTGCAGTTGAAAATGTCATTGGGCTGCTTTTCTTCGCAGGATCCTGTTCAGAACGAAGCTTGGATCGAGATCACTGTGACCCACTCCAGCGGGATGGGTGGCACCTTGATCTTCTCGGATGGTGGGGGGAATGATGTTGGAAAGGAGATCAACATTAGCAACTCGGTTGATTCACTGACCGTCAGTGATAATCAGCCCGACAAAATTAATTCTTTTTTTTTATTTAACAGACTTTGGGCTCAGGAATTCCCACGGGCGTCATTCAACAGCAGCCGTCTGCCTCTCTGCTTTGGTATACTTCCGGTCAGATCAGTTATGACGCCGTGATCACACTTCCTGGTGAGCATTCAGAAGTTTTCAACGTCCCCTCTTCGAAATATTTGCAAATTGAAATCTGAGGTACCCAGATGAGTTGATCTTAACACTAATCTAATCAGATTATGATAAACGGTGACACACTATTATTGCTGTATAATCTCCTTAAATAAAGTCCATGAAAAAAGGCGAATTTATCAGCATTTTCGCCGATTAAATATTTCCTTTTACGTATTAGTTACGACAAAAACTTCTAAAATTTTCTCAACTTCTCTGAGTCATCCATTATTATTTTGCATATCATTTTCTGACGGAACTCCGTAAGCGAGTTTATCCTGGGCTGAAAAACCTTTGATTTATATTCTGTAAGTTCGGAAAACTAGTTTGAATGCTTGATTTGACTTATACAGTATCTGGTTCATTGTCCTTATACAGTACTCCAAAGATAGAATTGTTTTCATTTAAAATTGAATTTCAAAAATTCAAAATCGATGAAGTCCTTCCGGCTGATTGAGACACTTTCGAAATCATTCCTTCGAAATCTCTTTCAAATCCAACAGAAAATTATCCAGTGTCGAACGTGCTCTTCGAGGCAATGGGACAAACAACAGCAGCCGGGATCAATATTCGGATTTGCAGAGCAGAACTCACTTTTGCGGGCAGAGGCGTTGGTTGTCTAAACCCGTTGATGCCACCGACTGCGACTTACTCTAAAAGGTGTTAATCAGGATTAAAGCCAGGATGAATTGAGGAATTTCTTCAACTTCAAAAAACCTTCCCTGGAACAGTTTGAAAGGCCGATGCTATTTCGTGGATTGTGTTCATGATTCATTTGAGCGACATCTCGTATACAATTAAGAAAGCTGCAGTTTGTGAATCATTGTTCTTCCCGCAGCGATCACAGTACTGTACAGGAATACTCCTTTTTAGAAGTACAGTAAGGACAAAGAGAGAGAGACTCAAAGATTCGAGGTCTCGCAGAAAATTAATAAAAGTTGGATTTATGTATTGAAATCTAATGCACCAAAGGCTTATACGATTTATGAATACTTTTGGACAGTTTTCCACGTAGAAAATCGTCTTCGTTCTCCTCAAATGGTCTAAAAAATCAGCACTTCCCTTCGAAGATTGAGTTCTTCGGTCTTCTTCGGGAATTCGTTGCATGTTCACGCAATATGTATCACAATGGAACCAGCGAGAGAATGCTGGACTTCATAAGAATTTGTTTGATTTTGTGCCAACGAACTTTGACGATTGCGGAAGCTGGGTGACGGCATGTTGGATAACTTTTGATGGTTACATATCAGTTATGCGGCTTTCTCAGACTGGCCTCACTCAGCAATTGAGGATGCGGCCTCTCCTTGTTGACTGTAAAGCATTCCTAATAATAATTAGCAGCGAAGAATAATACTAAAATTCCAAAAGTGTTTCTAAACGTTCAGTTTTTCCAGGACTCGGTAACTGATTTACGATATGAAAAAAAATATCTCATTTGCTGACGTTATGTTAAAAGAAGGCAGCGAACGAAACGCCCAAACTAATGCTCGCACTTGCTTTCATTTAAAAAAAAGTTATCATCATTCAGGCAGTTGTGAAGACACAGTATTTAATCACACTTTCGTGTTCTCAATTTTGTTGTTAGTAATTGCGAGAAGAAATTGACCACATTGTTCAAGATTTTCAAAAAGCTGTGAAATTCACTGGGATGTACTGTTCTGTATTTTTCTCTATGCGTTTACTTGATTCGCAGTGCTGCCGCGACGTTGTACGATGACAAGGTTTCTATCCAGCTTGGTTCTTTCTGCGGTTCCAAAGTCACACCGCAGAATTCTACTCATGATCGGGTTCTGATCTTCAATGTCGTCGCCGATTTGCCGTACCAGGCATCAACAACAGGTTTATATTCCTGAAAACCACAGTTTATACTTTATATTCATGATAGGACTTGAACGTGTCACATTTCACACATGTTGTTTGCTTCAAGCCCTTTCATTGATTTAGGGACATTAGTGGGTTGTGATATGTGATTTAATAGTACCCATTCAACGAAATTTTGATCATACTCGTATACCTCATTTGAAAAGGGGGTTTCTTTCTCCTGAGATCTGGGATTGCTTGACTGCGGTTCTGTAAATCACAGCACATCAGGTTAACAAAAAGTTTCTGCATACGCGAAACTTTAAATGTTTTCTCTTTCAAGTTTGTAACTCTTGAGTAATTGAAGATTAATTAATCGCCCATGGCACTGAGTGTGCCCATGACAGAGTGTACCGTTAAAGAGTACATTTAATTGCTCGAAATAGGACATTTTTAAACAATGTCCTCGCTATTATATAAGATAATTCCGTCCAGGATCCATGACTGAAGCAGGGAAGAATTCGATGGGCATATTTATGTGCGCACGAGGAGAAAACAAACATTATTATTAGAACCAAGGGTTAAATCAATTTCAGCTGAAAATGCTAGTCTAACAACCAATACCATAAACACCTAACAATAAAGAAAACCCTGGGCTGGGGATACTGTCAATAAGAACAGATACTTTGGATACCCAGAAAATTAGATCCGGTTCCTCACTGCTGCATCTTGACTCTTCGTTTGAGCTTCCAATTATATAAGTTTTTTGTTCTATTTACGTAGCACAAGCTTATAAGATGTCTGCGGGAGCGCATTTGACAGACACGGTACTTTGGGTCGGCAACTTGGATTTCAACGTTCAACCGTTGACAACGGTGCCCGAATATGCCTTGACTGTGTTTCCAACAGTGGTATCATTCTTTTCTGGTGGAGTAGCGGTCGGTTCATCAGCACGTGTTTCGTTCGCGCTGAAATTCCCTCCGAATTCCATAGGAAATTACGCGTTCATACTAGCATCCAGTGACACCAACGTAGCTATTTGTCAAGTGAGTAAGAGAAAAATCATTGATATCGAATCAATTGTATGGTAACTCTACCTCATGATCCGTCTCTTTGGTCTAAATTAACATGATGGTAGAGGAATTTGCCATCTCTTCAGACTTTACCAGTGTTCCTCAACCCGTGGTCCGCGGACCGGCGCCGGTCCGCAGAAGTTTGTTGCCGGTCCGCGAGAAAATTTCTTTTGCATGATAAATTTATAGAAGGTGATAATGAAGCCTGTTATCCTTAATTATCCGAAATTTTGGGGGAAATGGCAGTTGCAATTATCTGAGAATAATAAAAGTTAGATTTTCTTCTTATTACACTTCACGTTTCAGACACGTCTTCACTTGTCTGAAATATAGTATTTCCAGTTTCAAATCGGAGAGTCCTCTCTTGAAGCTCAGCTCTCTATTTTTTTTTCGGGACGCTGCTTCTTAGTTCTTTAATTATTTTTTTCATTACAAGTTTTTTGTGTGTACTTTATGGCAGGTATTTAAAAAAATGTCTTGGTCTTAAAAATTGTATGTAACTTAGCCGGTCTGCAGACAAGTTTATGACAATTTTCCGGTCCGCAAAATATTTTGTTGAAATTTGCCGGTCCGTGAGCAAAAGAGGTTGGGGAACACTGGACTATACATTTACAGTATCGGAGTATATATCTCGAAATTCTACGCAGTTATTTCTAGACCTACTCTCATCTCCTTTTGCCAAACAACTGCCTGAGGGATGAAATGAAAATAGAAACTTGACTCCATTGTTTGGTAGAAAGGTCATCTTATGCATTGACTTAAATTGCAAACAGCATCCGAAGAACCCACCGTAAGTTCGGGGTAATAATTTCAAAGATTTTGATTGAAAAGTGAAGTGAAAAGTACTTACTTTGATCCATTACTACATTTTCGGTTACTTTCACAGTTTTCTCGCGTGAGACAGAATTACAATTTATTTTATTGTTTTTCGCTGAATCCAAAAACGATGTGTTTTGCGCTCGCGAAATTCTTTAATCTTTATCTGTGCACCTAGCAGTCGCCAAGATAGACTTTTATAGTTCTTCATCAGACGATACAGTGCTCCATCGCATTCAAGTTCAAATCTCCGTTGAGCAAATGCAAATTAAAATCTGTGTTGATCGAAAATTGCCTCAGAGAAACGTTTTTAGGACGTACTGGTGAAGTTTTTTTTCTTCGGTCCCGGAAACTTTCCAGGACCGTGCTGTGGCAGCCTTTGCGAGTTCTTCGAGATTATATTTTTCATTGAGATTGTTTTTTTCATCATAGTTGAAATTCATCCACATCGGGAAGAATTTCCCTTGCGTCGATGCTTCTCCGGACGGAAAATTTGCTCGAGACCAAAGCACCAGGCTCACTTACGAGCGACACGACGTCTTGACCCCTGCGCTGGGAAACAAGCAAGCTGTGCTCGAATTTGGAATTTTGAACAATATTGGTAATAGATTGACTTCCAATCGGTATTTTCAAATTATTTCGCGATTCAAGACTCCAACGAAAACCTCGGAAAGATTTCAGTGTTTAAATTGGAAAAGTTTTGCAGCCGCGCAGATATTCTTCAGTCGACTCAGGCTTTCCCTTGAGAACATCCTGTGTTCCTACAAAATTTGATGTACCGTACCCTAACATGTATTGCCTTCCATAAACTAATAGAAATTGGACGAAGATTTTTTAGTACTATTTAGGCGACACCTATGCACGTATGCCGTAAAAAATCAAATGGTTATTCTCAAGTTAGGCGTTGCTGCAGCAACAAAATGTTATGCTCCGGGCAGCGAAAAACATGAAAGCTGACATACCTTTCGACAAATTCGTGTATATTTTGGCATGCTTGAAATCTTTGGAGTCTTCACGTTGAAATATGTTTTTTTATTGTCGCAGGAACTTTTCCACTTGTCTCTGCCAGCCAATACGACCCAAGCACTATCGTAGTTGAGGCAATGATTCTCGTATCCAGTACTGCGGTTGGTACTCCTACTCTAACCGGATTACTTGCCTGGACTGGATTAACAACAACCAGTGCCCAAAACGTTGTAACCTTGGCCCTGAATGGCACGGCTCCTGCGGTATGTGCGAATTCCTCTTGGAAAATGAATCAAATCAGCTTGTGCCATACCCATAACATGAATAATGCGTCCTCGAGAAAGCTGCTGATCTTTTAGTTTTAGTTTCCCCACACGATTTTTGCTTATTTTCATTCGTTCCAAGGAAAGCTTTCGATCACGTTGATCACTTTTTCAAATTAAAAAACCATATACCATGCAAATATTTAGTTCAATTTAAGCCAAAGGAAGGTTTTCGCGTCCAATTGATGTAGTGTTGATGACCCCAATCTCTTAGGATTAAAAATAAAGTAAAGACAGTAAAAATCAGATCATACAGTGGTGACCGGCGACACCTACCGGCCGCCACTCCTAATATTTCCACACGAAGAGGTACAGTATTTCGCGTCTTCGACCGCAATAGCCGCGTGAATCAGAGGAAGCTAGCATGGCCCCTCTGATTCTGGGTTCGTGCTTCAGTTCTATTGTCAACTCGAACAATTGAGCATCTTTCGAGTGTGAACCAGTTAAGTCATTACAGTACTGTATGTGTATTTTCTAAATCTAAATTGAATAAATGTTTCCTACACCTTTCCAGAATATTCCAAGTTTGCCATTATTCTATTAGACTATTGGGAATCTCTTACTGTACAATTGCCAATGAAAAATGAATTTAATTAAAACTGTAGAGTAGACTAAGGATTGTGATCCAACCAGATGAAGAAGAAAAGTAGCCTGCCTGCAAGTATCTTTTGACTTGAGTCTAGAGTATTTAAGCACCTTGGATTTGAAAATACAGTCAACCACTGCACAATGGACTCAATTTGGCAACAGAGTAGTGTTTTGTGTGAGAAGTCTGTCATGTGAATTCAACCATTGAAAAATTAAAACTTTTACTTCTTGCCATCAATTTCAACAAACAGAAGTCTGTTATGTGTATTTACTCTGTTGCGAGGGAGGGAAAACTGCCTCCAGGGGCAGTCTGTTGTGCAAAAATCCATTGTGCGGGAGGTATGCTGTGCAGGGGTCAACTGTATGTGGGCTATGGTATTTTGAGATTTTTGGGAACGTCAGTTACGTCATTTCAGTTTATGGTTGTCTTCTGAAACTACCTGTTCTTTTAGATTCGATTCTCCTGAAATTTTAATTATCCATTGACATCTAATCATGATCCCATCCGTCAAATGATCGGAGTTAGACGGATGCTAATTTACACAATAACCACGATTGACAATGAATACGAATAATATTGATTATAACTCACGTCTAGGAAATGGCTTTTAAATTGGATCATACGCCTGATCATGTTTTTGCAGGAATTTTTCACTTTTTAGTGGGCAACGTGCTGGCAAAAACCTAAAAATTATTCTGTCTTATTTTGCAGGGCGCGACAGCGTCGGCATTCTCGATCACTGCGGCTGACAGGGATCAGAAAGTGGTAGCTGGATATGCTTTAGGGATCCCGAAGGAAATATCGATCGACATTGCGCCATTAGTCACCAATGGATCAATTTTCTTGGATAAAATGGGCGTGATAGTGAGAAATCCGACTCCGGATACGGCGCCTTTCAACATTTGCTGTGCTGCTGTTTCCTTTGCCGGGAAGAACTACCCTTGCTTGAATCACACCGGTCTGGGATACACAACGACCAATGTCACCACAGCAGCTGGGTGAGACTTCTGTTCAGATTTCATACCCTAACTTCACAAGCCATGCGGGTTATTCTGAAAAATTTGACCTGTCTTACGTACTGTGTCGCAGTGGCGACATCTGCCGGCCCGCGCCGGCCGAGACATAATTAATCTCGATTTTTAAGATCCGTTCATTTCACAGTTTTAGATGAAAAAAGCGATGAAAGTGATCAATTATGAGTAGAACTTTCATGTTAAACTCTTCGGCAGATTGAAATACTCCTCTATGGGATTTGCAAGGTTGGGGAATTTTCAGGTCATTATTGACGGAAAAATCAAAATACTGTACTGTAGAACTTGATATTTAATGTACGCTGAAGTTTTAAAGTTTGAGCGAAAGCCAGCCGATAAACTAAAGAATCTGTTCGGGAAAAAGGATTTTTGGATTTCTTGAAGTGTTCGCCGTGTTGAAAAAAAAAACTAGGCCTATAATTCAATGACTCGTGCATCAAATTCTATGTAAGAAATTGTGATTTAGAAAATCGAGAATTATTCACTTAATATAAGTGCTGATCATGAGTGGTGACTTTTGGATAAGTTCCATTGGATGAAGAGTTCGGTATATAACGCGGAATGAGAATCAAGTGTGTTTTCGTTAATTTCCGCAATTCCTTTTTTTTGTTTTATGAATCGACTTTCTCTGTCCTCTTACACCCTCAGGGCCATTATTGTGAATTCTGTCCTGCTCAACCTCGGAGGGCTGTGTTATGAGCCCCTTTCAACTGCCAATGGGTCAGAAAAGGTAAGAATGCGTAGATCAGGATTGCATAATATTCAGCCCGAAGGCCAAATGCGTCACTCAAAGACTTCCCAAGCGTCCCGCAGAGGACCGTGGACAGCCAAAAAATAATAATAATCTGCGCACAAAGATGATCAGAATTGTTTTGAAATAAGTATTCCGATGAATCACATCTATGAATGCGGAGAATGGATTTTAACACTGAATTGGAAGCTGCGGTATTCAAAAATGCCGTCCATTCCTCTGGTCCGGTTTACAATTAATTCAGAACTGTTAGGGGAAAATTGAGAGAACTTAAAACTGAGTTTTCAAAAGAGCCAGAAGTTGCTTTTCTCCTCTCGTGAGAGCGCCTGTGCGAAAATAGATTTTTTTTTCTTTTCTTGCAGCTGACTGTGACAGCCTTCATCAACGTCGATAGGTACACAGGAACCTTCGCCGGTTCCATAAGTGTTGAAGCTGAAATCGCGATCAACGCAGTTCCATCAGGCCAGAAGTCCACCCTTACCCTGGCCAAAACCTCGACTGCGTTGGTCCCGGATAGTGTATCCGGATCTGTTGATCTACTTCTGTTCAGTAATGGCACTTACAATAATACCGGAATAGGGAGTCCCATCAGGGCCAGAATTGGAGAATTCTTGTGGATTCCCTTCCAAGTTTGCATGCTGCCATCGAGTTTGATCACGTTTGAGGTGAGATGAACGCATCAAGGTGAAAATGCTGCAGCTAATACGAATAGCGTTTTCTTTCCTTTTCTTATTCGAGCGGAGTTCTGTCCTATCAAATAATGTATGAGTAACTTGAGTCGATTGATATGATGAACTTCCCGAAAACATCGACTGTCCTGTATTTGAGCAATGTAAAGTATTTACTGAAAGGGATTCAATGTAACGGTCCCTGGGATAATATTGAGACCCTTGCATAAATGATTTTTTCTAAGTTTCGACACGGGCTTCTTTTCCTTCGGATAGTGGACCCTGATTCTGATAATGCAGTAATCTACTTGAAGAGATACCACTATGTGAAAATCTAAGTTTTCACGGGAAATGACGATTTGGCTGACAATTTCCCATTAAAACTTCGAAAACATTTCTTTCAAGTGGATTTAAGCTTTTTCTTCTGACATTTTTTGAGCCATTAATTACTCCACTAATAAGAATGTTTTTGGGAGCATACTATAGGTTCTCATCGTTTTGTCCTTGAACGTCGATCAGATTTCAATGTAGACGGGATTTTATTTTTTCTAAACGCAAGGATATAGTTCGACTCCGAAGTGTGATTACAGTCTGCAATAGACGAAAGCTAATCGCTGATTTAAAAATTTAACCTTTACAGAAAGCTAGTACGGTACATCTTTCTTCTGAAACAAAAACTGCGTTTCTTCACTTCATTGCTTTGGGAAGGAGGGAGCGCCATCTATCGTGTCTTTCAGATTATCATCTAGCATTCGATACGCAGTCAATAATTGCTTAATCGTATCCATTTGAAACTATTTTCGATTTTTAATCAT